ACCTGCTTTTACAGGCTTTCTCTATCACTTAAGCTACATGTAAAGGGATTTGAGGTCTTGTGAGAATTGCGCTATACAGAACCGAGTTTATTATTATAAGACAAAGATCCCCCATGTAGGCTTCAACAGACCATTGCTATGAAAGCTATGAAGGCCGGCACACCACACGAGGGGGTGGGTGGCCAAAACCACGATCGGCGGCCGCCTTTGTCTCTCCAGTGGCGATGTTTACACAGTGTCGGGTACTAATTTGTACACGTACACACACGTGTGTACACCCCTATGCCTCACGTCTATGCAGCGGTCATAAATCACCGCTGGGTAATCCCACATCAACGGCCTATGACTAAATCATCCGAGGGATTCACCCGATCTCGTCAGATCTCAGGAGCTAAGAAGGGGTTGAGTCTCGATAAGCACTTGCACGGACGACCACCACTTGCAGAAGAGGTGTCTCGTGCATTGGCTGCTAACATTGTCACAGTGATGAAAAAAAACAACTGTTGGACTGTACGTCCATGCTCACAGTCGCCTTCACCAACCCGCAGTGACCGGCGTGGCGTGAAGCGTGGCCATGTAAACCACAACGGAAACTTGAGCCATAAGTGTGGGCGATGGTGAGACATGAAGCGGCGTTAAGAGCATGCGGCACAACCCCTCTGTCAATGCTCCGCGTAATGAGCACAATGCGCTACGAAACCGGCAACCCGAGTTCGACTCTCGCTCATAACAGACGACGGTGACATCAGCACTGTGGGGAGACAGAAGGCGTCCTGGGTTGGCCATCCCATCACCTCGTGGTGTCGTGATGGCCTTAATTGGTGATCGCGAACATCACTTGCCGCAACAGTCTGTTAAGGATATACGGGGTATCTTTTTGTTTGTGTGACATAGTCAACAACAACGGGTCCTTGCGTCCCAACGTCACAAACATCAACCTTGGCCGTATGTATTGGGTCAGTGGTTCTTAACCTGGGGTGTACGCACCCCCTGGGGGTGTGCGAGATGCCCTTTCTGGGGGTGGAAGACATGCCAGAATTTTCATTGAAAACACAAATTAAGCACGGGCGCGTATGTACAACTACTTTGTTATTAACATTATACATTTGTTTAATGATTGTGAACCAAATGGGTGCAGGCTGCAGTCAGCCAGGTTTGAAGCGTTCTTAATGCAAATACTCCAGAGAGAAATCGTGATGCATTCGAGTGATGTCCCTGCACGTGAAAATGAATAACATCCCTTTGTCAATGCACTACTAGATGAATGCCCTTTGACGGTATACGGGGGAACGGGGGAGAGGGGGGTGTTTTACCACGCAGCACAGAGATCGCTCGCTGTTAATCGTGGCCGGGAATTGAACTCGGGTTTTGCCCGGTTCGTAGTCGCACAGTGTGCTAACCGCTGCGCTACCACTCTTCCAGATAGATATACACACTCCTTGCCGCTTTTCCTGTGCATTCAAACGGTTGATAAATAGTCACAACGACGTCACTAGTATCATAAGGGGCCATCCATTTAGTACGTACGCAAAAATATGTCAAAACTTGACCCCTCCCCCCCTCCATGTACGCACGCGTACTTTTTACACCACCCCCCCACCTGCATGCGTGCGTACGTACGTACGCTTGACACCGCCCCCCCCCGAATCCTATAAAACGGCCGATATTTAATCCACGCAGAACGATCAAGGATTAATAATAACGTGTTTAAGCAAAAAGATCGTCCACCGCCGGACTATCTAACTCATTTGAAGACCAATGTAGACAAATTATTATTATCGAGGCTTCACCCCCCCACCCCGTTTCCGATGCGTATGCACATTGTCAGTAGACCTCCCATACGCAAACGTACGCATTTGGGTCAACCTCCCCTCCCCCTCCATGCATACTTACTAAATGGATGGCCCCTAACGACGCTCCTGTCCGTAACTTAAAAGTTCCCGTCTCATTAGCAAGGCTTAGAACTCGCGTTGGGCAGCCGTGACACGGACGCCAACGATAAGAACCCATTTAACACGTAGCGGGCTTTCGTGACCAATATTATCCATAAGGTTTTTTTCTTGGGTTAGATCGCGTAAATACAAGGTGGTTTAAAAATGTTCACGATGGCAACATGTTACAATTACACTAAAAGTTACAAACGGTTTAATGAGTTATGAAGTTTTACTAAACATTTTATAAATGATCTATGTGCCCTCCACCTGCTGTACGGACAACATCGAGGCGATAGTTGAATTCGTCCCAAACGCCTCTCAAAGTGTCTTCCACTGAAGTCACCGCTGCCGTGATTATGTTTTTGAGGTCATCCAGATTAGACGCTAATGGTGGCACAAAAACAGGGTCTTTGACGTATCCCCACAATAAAAAGTCGCAGGGTGCGATATCTGAGGAACTTGGGGGCCAAGAGTGTAGCGCCAAGTCTTGGGGTCCCGTGCGACCTATCCAACGTTGAGGCAGTGTGTCTTGCGAATGACTGAGGCTAGGGGCTGTTTGTGTGCTGGGAGAGGCATCTAGCGGTAATCATTTGAAACTCTATGCCCCGCCTATTCAAGTGGTAAGAGTTTCATTCATGGGCGGTTCGTGGTTGCAGAGATATAGCGATTTTAAATCGGGTCCCTATTTTTAAAACACCCTGTATAAATGTCGTTAAACACTCTAATTAAGACCGAAACAGGAGGAGGATTTCTGCACAACTCTGGCCGTCCCCTGATGGGGTTGGTTGTTGCTGTAATTACCGGCGAAACGTCAGGGTACTCGAATTGTAAATGTTGTAGTGGGTTTACTCTCCAATACACAATCGGTGTGCTGAACCAGTAACTAATTGGCACGTTTTGTTTACGTGACAAACCTTACCGATTGGCTGTGTCGGGTGGTGGCGGGTTTAACGACACATTTATATTTACGATTTAACCCAAAAAAGTCCATCTATTATGGAAGATAAACATCGCTTGATTTTAAGGAGGGGTGGGAGGGGGCATGAAATGAATCGCGAGTGGTGGGGGGCACCCTGAGCATGGCTCCCTATCCTTCTGTGTGCCGCTTTTGTTTTCAAACAGAGTAGCTGAGCACAGAGTACAATGGCACGAAACGTCAATCGGTCAGCAACACACAAACAGCTCAGCCGAAGTTACAATAAGAGTTGACGTGTCTCTTGAATTCAGCAAGGATATTGTCAGGGTGTGGGGACAGAGACGATGGGAATTCCGAAGTGGACATCTGTGAAAAAAAAGCTTGATAGCTCATCGGATTCCTCCAGTATAAATACAAATATATCGAAGCGGAAAAAGGAGTGTTGCGACGTGCAGTGTCGGGGTTGAGCACAGTATGGATGATCCAGTAGGTGAATTCGTGGTTGTATGGGGAGTGGTAGCGCAGTGGTAATCTCACTGCGCTCCGAACCTGCCAACCCAAGTTTGATTCCCACTCACAGCCAACATCGATGACGGATAACTAAACCGGTCCCGGGCATCCCCGAGGTCACTCAGCCCCAAATGATTGTACGGTGCGGTGTTTAAACGTCATCACTGGGGAGACAAAGGCGGCAGAGTGTGGTGCTGGCCACTTCACCACTCCTTCGTGTGCCGTGCCGGCCTTCAGAGGTGTTCGCTAACAGCACTTGCCCCAACAGTCTGTTAAAGCTATACAGGGGATCTTTGTCCTTGTTTTTTGTTGGGTGGGTGGTTGGCCGAGTCGGTAAGTGGGTAGGCGACTGGTTGAACAGGTGGGTGAGTGAGTAGGTGAGTGAGTAGGTGAATGGCTGAACAGGGGAGTGAGTGAGTAGGTGAATGGTTGAACAGGTGGGTGGGTGAGTGAGTGGGTAGGAGGATGAGACGAATACGTGTGGCAGACCGAGTCCTCGACACGGGCGGAGGCGTCAACGAGTGACGTTCCAACCAACTTCCCCACCAAGTGTCAAGAGAGTCGTGGTCTGCACACGACCACGTGTAACCCCCACAAAACGAGGCGTTGCCACGGTTCTCCTGTTCGTACTGCAACTCTCGCCACGCTCTATTCAACGGGAACGATTTGGTAAACGTGACAAGGGGAGGGTTGCGATATCTATTTCGCAGTCACGCGAATAGTCCGGCGGTTCAAAAAAACTTTCAAGTCACGTTAACGAGCGCTCTTTCGACGTGACTAAAAGCTGTTATCTGGTCGTGTGAGGAGCGGTGGCGCAGTGGATAGCGCACCATCGCGTGATGAACGCAACGTGAGTTTGTTTCTGGCCCGACGGCGAACCGAGTGATATCTGAACCGATCCTGTACTCCCCGCTCCTCCCACTCACCAACCCGGCCTGACCAACATGGTGAATGGTCGTCTGTACCGTGCATTCAGTACGGGACTCTTGATGATCACACAGCCGAATCCGTTGACCTGGATGGGTTTGGCTTCGTACTGGGCAGTGGGGGCGAGCTCTTGACTTTTTATAACTGCAATTACTGAACATAGGCCCGAAGGCGAATGACACAAAGCGGCTCACAACAGCACTAATGATTGCAAAAGCAGAGGAGAGCTAACACGTTTATTGCTTAGCGCAAGGTTATTGAACTTTGAAGAAGAGATGATTGGAGAGAGCTCAAAGACAGACTGGTGCGATGAACCAATGGTTAAAGTAAATAATGTATCCTACGGTATGGTGGCTGAACACAGTATGGATGAGACGAGACAATCAATCTAGCAGCAGCGGTACGTGAGTGACAAGGGAGCGACTGACTGGACGGGCAGCGAGAGTAGCGAGTGAACAATCGAGAAAACCGAACTGTGCTTTGCGTCAGAGTCGAGCCCACATATAAACTCGGAACGAGACAGAGTAACTGGAGTCAATCACCAATCAATAGAATCATCACTCAATTCGAACCTGGAACTGAGCTCTCCTCCACTAAACTGGGCCGTGCCGATGGGGGCCGTCGTGTACGCGTCTCGCTGGCGTCTTTGTGTGGTCAAATATGGGTGTCGTGTGTAGTAGGTAATGTGTGGTCGGGTGAGGGTGGTCGCTCACCTCCATCCGTGTACGTCTCGATGCCATATCCGTCCTGTAGGCCGTTACTCCAGATGCCTTCGTAGCGGGCCACGCTGCTCTGGCTCATGCGCACGCCGTAACGGCCCTTTACTCCGTGCGTCCACTCGCCGCGGTAAATCCAGCGGCCCTTGCTCTCCACGCCGAGGCCGTGGCGCTTGCCATCGGCCCAGTGGCCCGCGTACGTGTTGCCGCTGGGCCACGTGTACACGCCGGCCACCTCGAAGCCGTGGCTCCACGAGCCGGCGTAGCGGCCCTGGCCCTGCGGCCCCGTGCACACGCCGTGGCCGTGAGCTTTGCCGCTCTCCCAGCCACCACAGAACGCCCCGCCATCGTCAAAATCGAAGCGTCCTCCGCTCATGCATGCGACGCGCTAAGACCCGCGGGGCGCACAACGCTCCTCTGGTTGTGGGGGGGGGGGTATGGGTGAGTGGGGGGGGGGGGCCCTGCGCGGTCAGGAGTATTGAGGGGGGCCCCCTCTAGGACCCGATTGTGCAGCGAGACGACGAGAAGAGCCACGAGAGGACGAGGCACACGACCCAGCACGGAGACTCCTGCAGGACGCGTGCCTCGTGGAGATGGATTCGAGTTCCGCGTTAAGATCCCGGACTGTGAACACGCGCCGCCGCCGCTCCTGATGGTGATGCTGCTGATGCTGCTTGTTGGATCGGAGCGCACAAGCGAGCCACCGGGAGAGTGGACGAGTGCACGGAGCACAGGAAAAGCAAGTGCGCACTTGTTGCCAATTTATTCCGGGAAAGGGACGGTCGGCGGCGGAGCGAGGCGATCGACTGCCCTCACCGACCCAAAATAAACCGCGCCGGCGGGGAGGGAGGCCCGCGCCGGGTCCCGCTGTGCGCCTGCGCAGCGGTGAAGGCAACGTCGATTCCCCCCCCCCCCGCCGCTTGCTGCGCTCACTGCACAGATGGATTCGCACCCCCGTGCACGCGCCCGGGCCGCATCAGCGCGGCGCGCCGGGCGGCGGAGGGCTAGAGGCAGCAGATGGTGGCGGAGGTGTGATGATGGTGCTGCTGATGGTGTGATGATGTTGTTGACGTGCGGCAGTGACGATGGTAGATGATTGGTGGCGGTGACGACGATGGTGATGGTGGTTGTGATTACGGTGGTGTGGGTTGTGATGATTCTGGCGATGGGAAGAATTAGCAGCGCTGCTGGATTTCAGTCACCGCGTGTGTGCCGCGCGCGAGATCCCACGCACAGCATCCACCACTCCTCATCCCCGACTCCTCATCCCCCACTCCTCGTCACCCACGAGCTGGTACGGAGAGGGGAGAAGGGGCGCGCAGGCGGGGGGGGGGTGCACAGGTTGCTCGGAGGAAGCGCGACGCGAGGGCGCCGTGTGCTGCTCTCTGATCGGAATGAAGATGGGGGTTGGGGGGGCGTGATGACTGTTAAGAGGCACGCAGCGCCCTCTGCCGGAAGACCCCTCCCCTTGCTGACATCGTCTGCAGAAGGACTCATTTCCCAAATACTGTATGTCCCTCCGTAAAAAAATGAAAGTAATGCTGACAACATCTCATCAGCCACACGGACTTTTTGGAGTGCATATTTTCAGCAGTATTGGTGCAACAAGCAAAACTCGGCAACCCGGCAGTCAGACAAACCAAGTCTGGTGAACTGACAGATCTTTGTAGGCAATGACCTCCTTCGTTATGGACAGGAGGCTCTCGGCCTGACTAAATATTTAGCCAGGAGAGTCTCAAGACCCATTCTCAGGAGGGTCCTACATCGGAGCCAAATTGCCAGCAGAGGTCAGTGGAGTAACATCCATTACCGTACTGTAGTCTATGCTTCCACATTTCAGCTTCCCCCATTATCCAATCTGTGACGTCCAGCTCGGGGAAGTATGGATAACGCTCACAATCCACAAAACATGGGGTGAGGCCCTCATCAGATGATTTACCCTCGGGCTGTGTATACATGGATCTGGATTGCGACGATAGGCCAATGTCATTCATGTATTGGCTTCACGTGGGAGAAAATCGGAGAAACAGGAGAAAACGATCACTTACACAAGGGAATAATGGAAAAACATTTGCACAGATCTATTCGAGACACGTAAAAAACGGCTCGTCGATACAACGGCCGGCCCACTGAACGAGGAAAGCAGAACGACTAAAAAATTAATGCCTGTGCTGCCATCCCCTGGTTACCTACATCGGTTGGTTGAGTGCAAGTGTTGGTCGAACTGTGACAAAGTTAGGACTACACTTCTTTGGTTATGAACCGACGAACATTTGCAACGCTTTTAAGAGATACATCGTCTTGAATGCAAATGGCTGAGTCAAGCCATGGGGTTTAAAAAAATGTAAATTAGATTTTCATCAGATGTTATACAGCTGTGTCTTCAATTACTTAACACACCAGGTGCAAGGTTAGGGTAAAGATCTCCCGTATAGCCTTACCAGCCTGTTGGGGAAAGTGCTGTTAGCAAGCACCTAATGAAGACCGGCACGGTATACGAGGGAGTGGGTGGCCAGCACCAAGTCCGGCCGCCTGTCTTCCAAGTGGCGATGTTTAACAACACCGCACCGGGAACTCATTTGAGGCTGAGTCTACCTAGGGGAGGCTCAGGGCCGGTTCAGATAAGTCACTAGTGTTGGCCGTGAGCGGGAATCGGGTCGCCGGGTTCGTAGCGCAGTGTTTAGGTGCTGCGCCACCGCTCGCCACTGGAGACCACCCACTCAATATATCCACTCTTCCACCTCTACTCACTCATTTACCCATCCATCCACGTACCCATCTATTTAACCCCCCCCAACCACCATTCATTCAACGACTCACCCTCTCACCTCAACAGCCGCCATTCGCCACTAAGTGGCGGTGACGTCGCCACGGCGTTTGTGCCAGGCCAGGTGGACTCCGAGGCCACGTGAAGTGTCGAAGACTCGCTGACAGATAACGAGACAGACCCATCCATGTACCATGCATGGGTTGACTGAGATGATGGGCAGATGCACCAACTGTGCCCCCTACTGTGCAAACGTGCTGTATTTGTCGCGCAGCGCTCCGCTCGTTGTTGTTGGGGCGACTGCCCCCAATTGCCCAGGAGCGTCCTTCATGAGCCTCCTCCAGAGGCCGCTCTTGACTCCATTGGTACCAGTCTTCGGCAAGTCGACTCAGCTCCACATCCTCCTAAACTCGGCCATTTCCTCTCCAGCCCATGCAGCACCCGTTTAGCCCTTTCTATTCGGCTTAACAAGCTGCAGGGCATGCGGTGGCTGGGCATGCGGGCTCCATGACCCAGCCAACGCAGCCTTGCCCTGCGGAGATCACTGATGGGAATATATCCTATTTCAATGATGTGTGCATTCATCACAATCCATCCTGGCCCAGGATGGATCATAGATTAAACCCAGCCTGAACGTTTTAATCCGGCGCAGATATTCCATTTGGGGAGTCCACGTTTTGCAAGCATGAGAAGGGCATGACTGACCGAGAAGACCAGAAGCTCGTGTGGAGCGACAGACCAGGTAGCTGACGAAAAGATGGCCCTCACCCACTTTCAGCTCCGACACCTTACCCACTCACTTCACACACCCACCCTCACAGGCGACGTTTGAGTCTCGTAATGCTCTACAGCAGTGGCTATGCGGTGGTTCATAGCAGCAGGAACATTGGAAGCAGAATGTCACAGCAGTAGTATTTGAAAGTTGTAATAGCACCAGTTAGTAGCTGCAGCGGCGTAACAACTACAGCAGTAGCAGCATCTGTACTAAGCATTAATAGCAGCCAGAGCCGATTTGCACTGCAGAGACTTTAATATATTTGATGTATTGGTTTATGTGTGTACATTCTCACGTAAGTTATTTTTGTTATAGTTGCGGTTTACTTAATTGCTGTACAGTAATTTGTTCTGCTATAGTCACGTTTGGTGACTCAGGTCACTTTGAAAAATGCGATTGTCCTGGTCGGAGCAGCAAGAAGTACCAGCATTGCAAGAGCAGTGGCACCATCACCCGTGGCTGCAGGTTCAGCAGTCTCTGCAGCCGTGTTACTGTGCACTTCACCCACCAACCACCCCCAACTTTCAATCGCTCCCCCCTGTGAAGCACCTCGAGCCACAGCGAGTCCACACTGAGCAACAACCAATACGTGATCCATCGAGCTAAGCAGGCGGTCTCTACTACCCCTTGGGTCAGAGTTCTCAGCCACCGCCCCCACAATCTCACGGACCACCATTAACCCCATTGTGCATCCGCCCTGTCCACTGCGGTGGACCGCGCTCTGTGTTGTCATTTCATCCATGGTGATGCATTCCCCAAATCTCCTGGTGCATGGCGGTTCTCTCTCGAAAGGGCTGCCATCTACTCGGTGTGACGACCTGGCAGTGGACAATTTGGCTCCTGGGTGAAGCAGAGAGTCCAGTTCCAACCAAATCTGGGTTGATGCCACTTGAGATGGGCAAACGCCAGTGGTTCCAAGACCATTTGACACTCTTGCAAACGATAGTTCCTGCCTGCATTGCATTGTTAAGTGAAATATTTAAATTACGAAACAATCTTTAATCAGCAAAAATAGTAAAATAATAAGCACTCGTATGAGCCACTTTCGGAAGAAACTGGCATCGCTAAATATTTAGCACCTCGAGTGGTAGCCACGGATGCCCTGGCCCTACCGATTATCCAGCTGACCGCCGGTGGGAAGCTCCGTCTCGACTGTAATAGACGTCATCAGAATTTTTTTAATTATATATAAATCACAAATAAACAAACAAACATCACTTGATTTTAATCACAGACGAGAGGGTTAAAGTGACAACTGTAAAGCTCCTTGGGTGCAGATTCAGCTGGAAATGCCTCAACACTTTGTTGCCCCCTCTGAGGCCCCTACCTTGATGTAGACCCCCACCTCCTTCTCACCCCAAGGATGCCCCAGGACCCCTGAGGCAGAGGTCGCAATACGGTACCTGATACCCGTACCCTACCTGATACCCGGCTACCCGTACGGGTACGGGTACCCGTTTGCGACCCTGGTGCGGCCGGGTACGGGTACAGGTAGCCGCACGTAACTCACCCCAACCAATGAGTGAGAAGGCCGTGAGTCACTGGTGAGTAACCGTTTGTCACTCATTTCCCAACGTCTTGTTTCTTCTCACAATTCAAGTTCCTAGAATCAACCCACCCGCGCCTGCAACATGGCTTCATCCCAGAGGTCGAAATCGGGTACCCGATACCCGTACCCTACCCGATACCCGGCTACCCGTACCCGGCCGGGTATCGGGTAGGGTACGGTTACCCATTTGCGACCCTGGTGCGGCCGGGTACGGGTAAGGAATCAAAACCCGTTTGCGACCTCTGCCCTGAGGGGACCAATGAACCCCCCGGGTAAGAAGCCCTTCTTCTCAAAAGCCAGTGCCATGGGACAAAGAGCACGCATCACATTCAATCTGATCAATGGTAGTGACCAAGCGGCGCTCCAACAAATACATTATTATTTCAACAAACCACACTGACCAGCATGATGAAGTATGGTCACACAACTGCAACGTTGTACCAGTTGTGGAGAGTCCTTCATCAGCAATAGAATGAATTCACAAAAGGCTTCAACGTGTTATTATTGTCAAAAAACTCCAAGGCTGTGCACGTGAAGTGCAGAACACACATTCGCCATATCTCCTCACATAGATTAATTAATCATCGACCAGCATCAACATCCGTAAATCTCCCATCACTGCCTGTCTCACCATCTCCTCTCCTGCCATCTCCTCTCCCACCTCCTCTGCCACCCTCTTATCTTCCACTATTGCCTTTTGCACCATCTCATCTGCCGCCATCACCAGGCAGCAAGCACCAGCACTCTGGCCCAGTCACCTCGTAGTTAACGCTGCGGTACGCAAGCAGGTCGAGTGAACGCCGCTTCGCCACGTCGTCGTAGATCTCACGCACGCAAGGCGCCATGTGGGGGGCGCCGGCTAACCGCGCCAGCTCCGCCATGTACCCCCACTGCCGCTCCCCCAGCATGAGCTCGCGCCGCTCGGGGACCCCCGCCGCACGGCGTTGCTCTCGCTCGCGCCGTGCCTCCTCCTCCATCTCGCCGCGTGACGGGAGGGACGCGCGGCCCACCAGCGTCGCCAGCGAGAAACGCACCTGTGGGGTCGCCGCAGCATCGCTCGTGGTGATAATGCGACGCTAGGCTTCATGGTGTGACAATCGTTGTGATATCATCAGTTTGTGTTTGGTATTTTTATTGCATTGCTTGATGTATGGTGGCAAGTAGTGGTGGGTGATGATTGAGTGATGGTGAGTGATGCTGGGTGATGTTGGGTGGCGGTCAGTGATCATGAGGAATATTTGGTGGTGATGGTAAGTGATGTTGAGTGATTATGGGTGTTGGTGAGTGATGGTGAGTGATGTTGGTGAAAGTGATTGATCAATGGTGAGTGTTGTTGGGTGATGGTGATGTCGGGTGCTAGTGGGCGATGGTGAGCGATTCTTGGCGATGGTGCGCGCTGGTGAGCAGCGTTGCTCGGTGACGGTGAATGACGCCACACTGCGCTGACCCCACCCACCTGGCAGTCGAACAGTGGGAAGGGGACGACCACCTTGCACAACCCGATGAAGAACATTGTCGGCATGGCCACGTGGACAAGGTGTCGGTAGAGCGGCACCACCGTTCGCTCGTCGTCGCCCGTGCAGACCCCCGCCTCCTCCGCCAGGAAGGGGAAGGAGTAGCGATAGCCCGTGCAGAACACGAACGCGTCAACCGCGTGCTCCGTGCCGTCGGCCAACGCCACGCCGCTCTCCGTCAGCGCCAGCACGGTGGGTGCCTGCTGAACGTTGGGTGGCAGTGCGGAGGGGAGCGGCTTGGCGCCGCGGTGGCAGAGCAGGACATAGCTCGCCATGCCGGACAGCTCTACGGCAATGTCCTGGCCAGAGGCACCGGCGCCGAGCAGCGCCACGCGCCGGCCCGCAAAGCGCTCGGCGCTGCGGTAGTCGTGGCTGTGGAGGATCTCACCACGGAAGAGACTGACGCCGGGAATATCTGGCACGTGCGGTTCAGAATAGTGGCTAGGGAAACGGGGAAGTAAATCGGTGAGGCAGTTGGCAATGTAAATCTTGGCCATCAATACCCATTGGGGAAAGCAAGTGCAGTCTCCAACTCTTATCATCCACTTGGTCTTTCTGGCCGAAATACATTATTTGGTGATGCTAGGATGGCAGTGGTGCAGAAGCACAGTTAACAAACAAAAACTCAACACATTCGTCAAAAACACTGTGGCCTTAAAAGAAACATAATATAAGAGGCGACATTTCCAGCAATGGACCATAGCACATGAATAGAGAGGCCAGAAAGATAGAGTGGATATAATACGGGTTTGAGACTGCACTTTACACCATGGGGCATCATCAAAACAGTAAGTTTAAAAATTTACATGCATAGTTACTTAACAGTGACTACTGGGTAACAGAAGAACCGCTTAATACTCAACTTCTCTTTCTTGATTCTCTGATTAGGTAGGTATAAGAATTAATAATGGTTTATACATCCATTGTCAATCCACTGCTGGATGAAGGCCTCCCCACACCATATTAATCAAGGGGGCGAGGGGGTGATTGGCCATACTTGCGGGTTGGTTAAGGGGCAAGCGCCTCTGACCAGATCAAATATCACTCACCACTGACATTAGCAGTGGCCGGTAATGGAACTCAGATTGCCAAGGTCACAGGGCAGATCGCTGACCACTGCGCCACCGCTCCAGCCCTATCACTTAATTTATACGGGCATTTAATTTTCAAGGATCAAGTGCGACATATAATAGGCGGCATTGTGTCAGGCTTCACACGCTCCAGTTTTTATTCTCTTAAGAAATGCACGCACATGCGTGCGCTCTTTCTAGCTTATTACATAGGCCGTGACGGACAAGTTTAATAATGCCCGTGCCAAGGTTACCCGACAAAACGCCTGCAAGCGCACGTGAAGGTGACACAAGCGGGTGGTGCGGGAGGTGAGGCTGGTGATCAGTGTTAATTTAGCATTGAAAAAACTATTATTTAGAGTCTCAATCCAGTCAAACCTGTGTAATTATCTCTTATTAGATCTATATGAGTTGGTAACAATAAGAATACTTTAGAGGCCTTTTTTATTTAGCCATTCTATTAATCTGGTGAACTAAAGCAGTCAAACGTCTCGTTACACTCTCTATGTTACTAAATCCGAATTTTTCATAATATTTATTTAGACTGATAGAGGAATCCAATGAGCTATGAAGCCCTCTTTCACAGATGTCCAGTAGGGGTGGGTCAGCAAGTTACAACAACAAACTATGAAAAAGAAATTGCAGTGAGGGGATGCAAAAATCCCCCCCCCTCCCCAATATTATAACAGATCAGCCAATCAGAAGTAAGCTCAGTAAACCTTAACTTAAAGCTTTCGTGACTGCAGGAATTCATATTCTTTGGGTCTTTCAGTAAAGTCACGTAAATAGGTTCAAATTAATTCATAAAAACTATGACGTTTCGATCACAACACAAGCGATCGTCATCAGGAGGAAAACATGACGATCGCTTGTGTTGTGATTGAAACGTCGTAGTTTTTATTTATTTTATTTTTATTAATTTGAACCTATTTACATGACTTTACCAAAAGACCCAAATAATACTCAGTAAACCTGTTAATATACATACAAAGCTAATTACCTGTTTGGTCTTCCTCAGTAAACTGCAGTCTCGAATGACGCTACTAAATGATGTCTTTCCGCGTCTTCATTTAGACGCGTTCACTTCGTCTCGTCAAAGTCACGCTTTTGCGTTGGTGGGTATTTGTAATCGATGATTTCTGTCCAATTGTAATAATCTTGAATGAAATCAAATTTTATTTTCTGTAATATTTTTGTAACCGATTTTATTTATGATATTAATGTCAACCCGTAGCACACCACCGCACAGTATTTGCTCACTCTTAAAGAGAAAGAACGACTCAGAGGTATGATAAACCACAGATAAGCAGGAAGGCAGCCATGCGGTAAACTGACCGCAACTATTTCCCAAGCTCTGAGCTGCTCCATATATGAATATGTTATCGGTCAATTATTAAGTGTTTACAAGTGGGAGGAAACCGGAGCATGCGTGGGAGGGAACAAGACTTTCATACAGGTGGAAAGGTGTTGTCCATATTTACTGTACCGCCTTCTCCTGGCTAGCCAGGGTATGGCACCTCGACGTCCACGGTAAGGGAGTTTCACATTTGTGTCATCCACCAGCTCTAATGAATTAATGAAGTGTGGCGGCGCGGCGTTACACGCACCCGTTGCACACCATGACTGCGTCGTAGCGCTGCGTGGTGCGGTGCCCATCGGTCAGGCTGCAGGCTGTCACGTCCCAGGCCACGCTGTCCTCTGTGCCAGCTGGTCCCGGCACCGGCTGCACCAGCTCCACCCGCCACTGGAACTGCTCATATAGACAAAGATCCCCCATGTAGCCTTAACATATTTTTTGGGTAAGTACTGTTAGCGAGCACCTATGAAGGCCGGAACGGCACATAAGGGGGTGGGTGGCCGGCACCCCACCTGGCCGCTTTTGTCTCCTCAGTGGCGATGATTACCCATCATACCAGGTACTTATTTGAGGCCGAGTCCACCGAGAGGGGGCATAGGACCGGCTCAGATAATCGTTACTGTTGTTAGCCGTGAGCGGGAATTAAACTCGGGTCGCCAGGTTCGTAGTACAGCACGCTAACCGCTGCATAACTGCTCCCCATGCACGCTCATGCACACACAAAGAAAAACCAATCCCCTATCCACTCAAATACCCCCACATACACTTGTACACAGAAACTGGCTCATACACATACATGCACAAAGACCCCTGTATAGTCTTTAACAGACCGTTGGGGCAAGTGCTATTAGCCAGCACATATGAAGGCTGGCATGGCACATGAGGGGGTGGGTGGCCAACACCATGCCTGACAGCCTTTGTCTCTCTATGTATCTATGTTGAACTTTTTTACACCGTACATAGCCAACCGTGCTAATCGAAGGTGCGGGGGAAGGACGAAAAATGTAACACAAAAACCAAGTGCAAAGAAATACATTTTCAATCTAGATGATTTAAAAGTGCACAGCTCCAGTAGCTTCATAAAATCGGAAGAGCGTTCTAGACGGCAGCAGAAGTGCATCTGAAAGTGCGCGATGCAGTGACCATCTTTGTTCAATGGTTCGCCAAAAACCTCTATGAGGATGGCAAGTTTGCATGATGGTTTATGCTCCTTGACAAGATCAAGGTATTCTGATTAATTTGTACCAAGCACTTTGTGTGTAATGAGTGTGACTTGATAATGTATTTGTTCAGCAACCGGAAGCCAATGCAGCTCAGCAAGCATCAGACGGACATGGTCGGATCGTGCAGTACCCGTTACTCGTGTTGGGCATGAGCAGGAATCAATCTCGGGTCGCCAGGTTCGCAGCGCAATGTACTAACCGATGCTCCACCGCTCCCCATGGTACTGTATTCACACCCGAATATAGCCATTAACAAGTTGCTGTGAGCAAACACCTATTAAAGCTGGCATGGCGCACGAGGGGGTGGTGTGGCCAACACCACGGTCGCTCGACCTTTGTTTCCCTATCGCTGATGTTCACACATCGCACAAGGTACATAATGCATAACGATATATCAGCCACGCTTAAGATAATCATGACAAAGGGTGTGGCATGCTTTCGTTTTATTTATTTTTGTTAAAACATACTTGTGTATCACCTGCCCTCAATCAAACCTTGTTAATCATCCCTGAGCGATGCCGCACTCACAGCCGAAAGGGAGCAAAGAACAGAGGATGGCTCAGAGCCAGATAGAGAGACGGTGAGGCAAGATATCGAGAAGAATGAGTGAGATTGAATGAAGCATTGACACTTGCTAGGAAGTGTTTTTCTAATCAAATTAGCATTGAGGCATTGGTGCTCAGAGCCCATTTACAGCCCTGAGCCAGCAAGGGAAAACCCACATTTTTTATGGCAGGAGTGAATTGATCCATAAAATGATTAACAGTTGACTTCCCCACAATTTGGTATTCATTTTATCATCCCCAGTGGTAACTCAAAACCACCATCCAATTGCGAGACGCTAGCTCTACTGCTGAGCCACTGGGCTGTAGATACACGAAGGAATTTAATTCGGCCCCATCATAGCTGGGGAGCTAATGGTATGGACATAGACAAGGAATCTCTAAGGCGAGGCCCTGTAAAACCCACGGCAGCATAGCTCAGAGCCCGCTGTCACCAGAGCCATAACTACACAACACAGTCATTTAACTCATTCATCAATAACACGGCCTTTAAAAAAACATTACAGGCAATGCTTTGGGCAATGGCCCTTCTGCACAGCACAGAGGCCAAAACTAGAGCGGTAGGCATTTTGATGGCATCCTCCTGCTGTATTGTCACCCTGCCCCTCCTTCCACACACTCTTGCTGCTGCTATGCTGGCACCACTGCACTGTTCAGCTGCCGCTACTCCCCCGCCATGGCACTGTGAGGGCACCTTCACGTGTGGCTGAATGCTGAAGTGGTCGGCGTACTGATCCAGGTAGGCTCGCATGTCGCTGTGGTGTATAAAGGACGGCAGATTCTTGTCAAATGGGAAGTCGGGAAAGGCTATCACCTCCTTGGGCAGATTTGTCCTGAAAATCACAGAGATCAGCGACTGGTTTAACGAGATATTGTGCGATTTTCCCTTAGTTTACATCATAAACAATAATAAGTGCTTGTACATCTGATAATTTAATTTGTCTGAACCTCCCGGCTGACTGATGAGATGGCGTGATTGTCTCACTTTATAAAGGTAAAGATTCACCAATTGACTGTAGTAGCTACTGTCCTATCACCCTTCTATCTGTCCCAGGAAAAAAATCCAACATGCTACTCGCTAACTTGTCCTCACTTTTGCACCAGAACCGGCACTCCACCAATCAGGCTTCACAGTGGGGTCGGTCCACAGCAGATGCTGTCCTTCCATTCCATTTGCTCTCTGATCTACACCCCGAGAGTTCAACTGACCCCTGTACATCCCCTACATTGGTGGACCGGACAGCGATCTGGAATTCTCCCTGAGGAGGTGGTACACCAGAGCCATTAATACACTTGATAGCCAACCTGTACGGCGATACATCCACACAGGTGAGGGTTGGACAAGAAATGTCTAAACCGTTTCGTACCAGGTCTACAGCCTGGCAAGGATGCATGTTCTCGCCATCATTATTCTGGCTGGCTATCGACCGGTTAATGGGCAGAGTTGGCAGCGGACAATGTTAAACTACTCGTCAGTGACCCAGTGCACCTCCATCCTGCTATCGATAACTACGAAGGTGTGGAACCTGTCATTGTGTCCGACAGCCACCACATTCAAGCACAATGGGCGGCAGACCATGGAGGGGTCAACAAAGTAATCGAACTCGGTGGTACGCCGTGCTCCTCCGGTCAACCCAAAGTGGAAATCCGGTGAAGAATCGGCATGGCCCTCATCTGGCAACGGGGAGATTCGGCCTCAAAACAAATCTACGCATCTACAATGCTTCCATCCTGCCAGTTGTGCTCTATTGCTCAAATACCTGGACACTGCTCACGTTAAACATAGAGCATCTGGATGCTCTCCATATGTGCTGTGAACAGTGCATTCTTTATCACAAACATCACCATCACATCCCGCACCGGTCTCCCGAACATAGAGGACCTCATTCGACACCAGTCTAGGCCTATCCGGGGCATGTAGCTCATCTTCGACCAGATGTCCCGGCTTGCCTTGCCCTGTTATTGAGTGTCAAGATCAGATATGGAATAAACCCAACCAAATGTGGACTCATGCGTGGGAACGCTCACGCTCAAACTGGTGCTCACAGATTGTGCTTGATGCGGACAAGCTTATCCAGGGGGACTGGCTTAGGGCTACACCTGGAGGGACATTTGAAACAGCCAATTGATGGCTTAGTAAGTACTAATACTCCTGGATGGGCTTAATGGAACAGGGCACCACGGAAGAGATAGCACAAACTGACCATGAGCGACTCCTCCCTCTTCCTAACATACGCCCCACCCCCAACCTACCCCCTGCGTTCTGGAACCGTCTCTCCTCACTCACGCAGATTCTCACCTCTTGGCTAATGCGTGGCCTCTAGGTCCCCAGCACCAGAGAGCCAATGGGAGGCTATGTATTTCTCAATGTTGTGTGTATGCTAGCCGGGACTTTCATAATTCGTTAACTAAGGTTGCCCTTCAGCTTCCTCTACCCATAACTCAAAGTAATCATTTGCGTCATTGTGGAGATTATAAATAACTTGACTAAATCAGTAAAAATCACGTTTTTTTAATCATTAAAGCAATATATTTATATCAGCACAACTGTATTCTGTGTCTGCACATATTGATACAGATGTTTAGTCCATGGAATTATTGGCTTTCCAGAATAATAATTTTCGAACACTTAAGCAATTTTTTTTATTTTTATTACATCTGTCGTGACTGTGCTTGTCACCGTATGGTGCCTGGACTTGCAAAGCCACGGCGGGTAATGTGTTGTCATTATGGGCAGCCTGAGTTACGGGATGTAGTACCAGCCCTAGCAGGGCTTAGGTGAGCGTTGGTTAGCGCGGAGGCACCGCGAGCAGTGTGCGGTGCGGGCTCCCGGTAAGGGATCTAGAGGGAGCGTCAGCCAGCCAGGGTTACCTTGGGGTATGATACGCTGGTTGACCTGCTGACACGTGACCGGATGATATTGGAGGGGGGCCACCGGTGGACGGGGGCCGCGGGGCGGTCACGTGGTCCAAATGAGCTCTCGGTAACCTTCGAGAAGGAGCTCGAGAGACCTGGAAGGTGGCGGGGTGAAGGGCGGAGCCAGTCCCAGCCCGGTGGCATATAACGAGGGCCCCGTGAGGAGCTCGAGGTTCTTCGTGTCCTGATGTTACGAAGATCCACGTCGGGGAGAAGAAGCCCCTAGCCACGTGGTCCGGGACCCACTATGTGGTCCGGACCGGGATAGCGAACCATGTCTAGTTCTGCCGTAGCGTGGTTAGATGAGCATTCGAGACCCGAGTGTAGATTGTGTTGTTACATACCGTTGTGTAAATAAATAGTGTTGCTCCTAAGATAACGTGTGCGACTCAGTTGGATTCACTCCACATCTATACACGGCACACATCAAGATCAACCTGTGACCAAATCACTCGATGTGTTCCCGATCTCGTCAGATCTCGGAAGCTATGGTACCGCTGCTATGGCATCAATGGGCAGTGCATCAACTTCCATAATTTTACTGTATGCTCCCTGCCTTTATCAACCCGCACTGGCCAGCGTGATGAGATATAGTGAAATAACCCCAAATAATATTTTATCCCCTTGCCTATATGAGTACAGGTGGGTGAATAATCCATGCACAGTGCCTGACACAGGTCCACATGCTTTTTTGTTTCTATCACGGTTGCCAAACACAGTCCCAAAGGCCAAAAGCCCCAATCGGTCAGTAACAAATAGCACCAGACCATCCACAGTCGGGCACCTGAGGTCACGGTAGAGGCTCGAGAAGACAGGGCAACTTGCGTCGGATTCAGGCGGCAGTTCCTTGTAAACCCAGGTCCCTCCCACCACGGAGTCCATCTCAAACACAACCGGCGCCACGAAGTCAGCAGGGCTATCCAAGATGTGGCGAGCGGTGCACAGGCCCGCCGCACCGGCTCCCACCACGGCCACACGCAGCCGCTGTGGTGGTGTCGTCATCGTGACTTTACCGTCAATCACGGGCACAGCCCTGGGCACACGGAGACACGACGGGCACAGACACAGCACATGGGGGGTACTGTGGTGGCACACGTGATCTGTAATCCAGCACTGTGCAGGCAAGGGTTGCTGGATCGTGCAAATGTTGTGAAACTCCCTTCCCGTGGGAGTTGAGGTACCATATACTCTTGCTCGCCAGGAGGCGGTACAACAAAAATGTTGACTCCACCCATTCTATCTGTATGGGATAGTGTTTCCCCCTACGTGGGGTTTTTAAATGTTCTGGTTCCTCCCTCATGTAAACACTTATTAATCGACCGATAACACCTTAATATATAGAGGACAGTAGAGCTTGGGCAACTGTTGGTGCCAGCTCACCACAGGGCTGTGTTCCCGCTTGTCTTTGATTCCTTGCACCTCCGAGTCATTCTCTCGCGAGAAGAGTGAGCGGATACTGTGCGGAGCATTACAAGTTGAATCATATTATTACTGTGAACACCAGCACTGCAAAGAGAATAAAATATGACAAGTGGACCTGGGGAGTCACTGGAGGTTGGAGTTAGGGTTACCACTGGTGGCTGCTATTATAGTTGCTTGTGATTAGGGGTGAGTTGTTTAGGGTTAAGGATGAGGCCAGCTGCTGAGTAATTACTTGTTTATGGACTGGTGGTCCAGTTAGTGGGTTCAGCGCTACTTGGTTACAGTTGTGTTGTACCTTGTATTAAGTGGCTGCCCTGTAAATGTCAACGTTGGGCCAACGTTGGCCCAATGTTCCATGTTTACTGGGTAGCTGGCTAGCTGTTAATGTTTCGTGCATAATCAGAACATTGTTTACGGCTCTGGGGTAGTTGGAAAAACGATTGCAAATCGGGGAGAGTTTGTGAGTTGATTGGGCTATGGAAAGCACTCGTGGACACAGGGCTAGTTGGTTATGGTTGGAACCACACTAGTGTGCAAGCAAAACAAATGCTAAACCACCCACTTGCCCGACCTCCCCATTGCAACTCGACTTTTCAGTTTTCGGCTCATTATCGTTTTTGATGCAGCCACCAACAACAGGGGCGGGGGTGTACGAAAGATTTGAGATTAAAACCTCGTCTTGCCTGCCCTCTGCCATCCTCTGCCCACCAAACCTCAGCCAGCGCTGATTACACAAGTGCGTATGTGAGCTGGCTGGGTGAAACAACACCTCCCTTCTGTGAGTGCTGCCAGTCTTGGGTGGCCTGGCCTGACCTGGCTTTGGAACGGCGGCGCTGAAACCAGGTTTCTCGGGTTGGGATTGCCATATCTGTATCGCCGTGCGAATAGCAAACGTCCAGCGATGAGCGAGTCTCCTGCGAACCTCTACCCTTACCTGATGTGGTTAGTGGTCCCCCTGCCTGCCCCCATAACCCCCGCCGGGGCCTCTCGTAGGTGCTAAAGTCCACTGCCACTTCCCCCTGCAGAGTGTGGGTCAAGTTTGCGTCACCAGCCACTGGCATATTGCCATATCACCCCACCTTCCCGTCGCGTGGACAGGAAGGTGGGATGCATGCAACATAAAGAACCAACACCTCATCACTGATCCAACGGCTGTGATCTCCCTCAAAGGCAGTGGACAGCTCTCAATCGAATCCGCATAGGACACAGGCGATGCGCCTACAACCCTTATAGTGGTGGTTCGTTTAGAGCAGTTTCCCAAACTCTAAGGCCTCTCCTAGATCGACTCAGCCTCAAATGAGTACCCGGTGCAATGTGTAAACATCTTCACTGGGGAGACAAAGGCGGTTGGACGTCGTGTTGGCCACAAACTCCATCGTACGACATTCTGGCCTTCATATGTGCTCGCTAACAGCACTTGCCCCAACAGCCTAAACGGGGGATCTTTGACTGCTTAAAGAAACAATATCTCAAATATATTACATAATTTGGTGATACTTCGTTGGCAGTAGTGCACAAATAACAAAACTCCAAAACATTCGTCAATAACACTGCCTTAAAAGGGCAGTGTTAGTGACGTGCCTTAAAGAGGGTTCTTGCCTATTACATCAGGCAGTTAAAACTCGGCCTCGGCAAGGTAAGGTAATTTAACATTTTTACCGGGTAAAAGGTAAAGGTGTCGGCATGCCCAGGGGTAAGGTAAAGGGTAGGGTAAAGGTAGCTCGGAAGAATTACCCGGTAGGGTAAAGGTAGCGCGAAGTATTACCTGGTAAATACGGTACCTTATTTACCGCTAAAAGCTCTGTGGCGCAGTCCGTGGCCTCCATTTAATAAATAATATTTTAAAAAACTTTTTTTTTAAACACGCTTTTATTAAATGTGTAGGGCTGGAGTATAGCGCACCACGCATCCCCCGCCTCTGTTGCTATGCGAGCAAGCACAGTACAGTGGGGTGATGTGAGGTAATGGTTGTTGTTGTGACTTTAGGCGAAGTGGGTCCTTAAGGGTTGAAACAGGTGTCAGGGTAGCCGGGAGGACACAGGCCAGTGATTGGCTGGAAAGGTACTTGGGCATTAGCTGGCGTCACTCCGGCGGCGAAAACAAGGCCACGTGACACAGGGGGCCAAGGGGCGAGCGATAAGCGGGGGGTAGAGATAATTAGGGAGATTAATTGGTGTGGGGATATAAGCCAGAGCGCAACGGAGAGAAGGGAATCCTGTACGAGTTGGCGTCGTGGATAGAGCTGCAGCAACGGTGCCCAGGGAGTCGCAGAGCAAGTGATAGTAGAGTAAAGTGTAGAGAGACAGTGTCAGTAGAGTAAAGCGTGGAGAGACAGTGGTAGCGAGAACGCAGTGAGCAGACAGGGTAGCCATGCATCGGAAGGATGCAGAGTAGGAGAAACCGTAGAGATGACAAGCGTAGTGATAGTGAGGTAGAGAGGCGCGGAGCGACGCGGAGCGGAGTGAGGGCATGGAGAGACGCGGAGCGATGGCGCAGCAGAGAGACGCGGAGCGGAGCGAGGCCGCGCCGAGACGCGGAGCGGTGGCGTGGCGAAGGTAGACTCTAAGAGGAAAATAAAGAGAGAGAAAGACAACCCTCGTACGAGTCCTACAACTGGTGTCAGAAGTGATAATGGACCTGCACCGAGATGTCCAAGAAAGTCATGAAGAAAAATAACTTACCGGCAGCCTTATCGGACGTGATACCTCCATCAGGAGCGGAGGCCCCCGCATCGCCGGAGGACGTGACGGAGCAAGCACCGCCGCATGACGAGGTCGACACGCACAGCGAGGAGCCGAGCCCGCCGCACGTGTGGAGAGCTGCGATGGCGGCGTGGGAGGCCAGGATGGCGGTGCTCACGTAAGAATTTGATCGAGTTCTGCGGTCAATGCGGGAAGCGCCGACGGGATTGGATCCGCAGCCGCACGACCTCGTTACATCTGCGGGGGCTGACGGCGCGGCTGGATCTCCCGAGGCGCCAGGTGCGCCGCTGGACGAGGAGGAGGAACCGGAGTCGCTGGCCTCGAGCACGCCACGTCGGCTGCATGTGGAACGCTTCGAGGTCCCGGTCGGCGACTGGAGGGCGTTTACACGACGATTTCGGGCAGCGTATGAGTCGCTCGGGTGGACGGAGGCTCAAGCACTATGGACGCTGCCAACGGCTTTGGACGACGACGCGTTGGCGACGTTCTACGTTCTCCCTCAAGGGGTTCGCTTGTCCTTGCCAGAGATATTTGCGGCGATGCAGAAAATTTACGAACCTCGCTCGGTCGCCAAGCGCAAGTTTCAATTTGAGGCGACGGGCGGAAGGAAAATCTTCCCTCGCGTATCGCAGTGCACTGTTGACTCTTGGCCAAGCGGCTTACCCGGCAATGGACGAAGCGGCCCTTGATTCTTTGGCCCAGGATAAGCTGTTGCAGATGGCGAAGGAGCTACAAGTCGTCCTCTCACTTCCCAGCGACAACGAAGACGACGGGTCATCCTTGCAGCTTGCCAGGAACATCCAGGTCAACCTGGATCTTCGCGACGAGCCATCGGCGGGGCCATTTCGGCCCCTGGTGGTGGGCGTTGGATCAGACGGTGGTCTACCGGAGGGAGAGCTGACGCCGCTGACGGCAGCGGCCGCACGACCACCGTTGAGCCCACACCGCCGCTCGGATGCGGGCGGACGTGGCGGTCCGTCACGCTGCTACGAGTGCGGGCGGCAAGGACACTTCGCGCCGGACTGCTGGAGACGGAGACGCGTCTTACCACGTTCATCGAGACCCTACAATCGGGGATTCTACCCAGCGCAGGATTACCAGGCGAATCACGACACATGCAATACATGGCCGTATCCTACACCTCACCTATCCGCATCGATACATAATGTTGATCCCCCTTCGTATGATGCTCAAGGTAATGCGGTATGGGGTGCGTTGGCTCATCGTGTTTTGGGAGCTGCGCCGGGTTCGTCGGATGTGATGGCGTTTGTTCAAGGGATTCAAATTCGGGTTATTGTTGACACGGGGGCATCCGCGATGCTTATTTCTTTGCACACCTTCCGATTGCTCCCTGCTTCGGCCCATGTTTTGGAACCGGTGGAGAACCTGTGTATAGCGGCAAATGGGGGTAGTTTGGGAATTATGGGTCGTATACTAGCAACGATACAGGTCAGGGAGGTGTGTGTAACGGGGTACATTTTGGTTTCGTCTGTTCTGGCTGTGCCGTGTTTATTGGGCACGGATTTTTTGCAAAAGATGCCGATTAAGATTTCGATTGAAAGGGGACAGTTGGAATTGCTGTCAGGGAAGTGCATAAAATTTTTGGGTACTCCGTCTAAATTTGCTCGTGTCAATGCTGTGGTCCAGGCGGTGGTTAGCCGCACGGTGCGCGTTCCGCCTGCGACGCATATGCTTGTCCCGTTGAAATTGAAAAAGGGGCTGTCAGTAGGTAACTTGGAGGAGGGTATATTATTGTCACCTTCAAATGCCGTGTCACGAATGCCCTCTTTGGTAGGGGCTTTTACGATGGTGCCAGCGACGGCCGAACCATTTATTCAGATTGTAAAGACGGGGCACGAGCCGGTCGTTATTCAGGAAGGGACCACGCTGGCACATGCGTCAGTCGAATGAGGTTCGGAAAGCCATGTGTGTTTGGCAGCGGGGGGGGGGGGGGGGGTAACACGCTGCCGCGACCGGAGGAGGAACCGAGCTGGTTTCGCGAATTGTATGAAGGTAACGACGATTTGATACCCGAGCGGACGCGGTTAAGGGAGTTGCTTTGGGAATTTAGGGATGTGTTTAGCTCGGGGAAGTTTGACGTCGGTCGTACGACCTTGTTGCGACATCACATTGACACTAGAGATGCGGCCCCTTTTCGATTAAATCCTCACCGGGTGAGCCCGCTGGAGAAGGATTGCATTCGGAGGACGGTTGACGAGATGTTGCAACAGGATATCGTATCCCCTTCGTCCAGCCCATGGGGAGCCCCGGTCGTGTTGGTAAAAAAGAGGGACGGCTCTCTGCGATTTTGTGTAGATTACCGGAAGTTGAA